GCGATGGAACAATTTTAGTTTTACTACTTCATTTAAATAGTATTTTAACTTAGGATTGCGACGGAACATAATATTTTTATTTTCTGATTTTGAGAGTAAGCAATAAATATTTATATACATGAAAAACAATCGATGGCCTAATAATCGTAATTACGAAATATTTTATTTCCTGCATTTGGCGTTACCCAGAACTAACGACGAGGACGTAACAGGATCTAGTTCCATTTTGTTTTTTTTTGTTTTTTTTCGTGTTTTATAATTTTTTGTGTTTTGTGATTCTGTTTTTTTTTTAACAATTTTTTATATTTTGTTTTTTTTAATTTTTTTATTTTTTTTATTTAATTTATTTAATCGAAGTCTGATTCATTGTCAGACTTATTGTTAGACATTTTAGACTCAGAACTTTCTGTATTGATTTTAAAAGTCTTCGTCATCTGAATTTTCTTCTTCATGAACAAATAATTCTTCTACCTCTGGAAACATTTCTTGCTCTTTTGATGTTCTTAAATTTGGTCTTAGGTTAGATATAATTGGATCAGATGATATCAATAAATGATTCAATAAATCTTCGTTTGTCGCTTTTCTATTAATTTTTCTAATATGTTCAAGACGATACTTTCTAAATTGTTTGTGTCTAGCTTCTATAGCCTCTTCGGAAAACTGTCCTATTGGCATAATGGCATGTTTTATAATTTCTGCTCCATGGAACAAAATCTTGTAGACAGTAGCTGGCATATAATACCATCCATATTTATCTATAACAATTTTTACTAAATTTTTAACATAAAGATCAAATTTTTGTGTATTAATTTCTCGACCTGATGCGATTGCTTGTAAAAGGACAGCGAATTTTCGTATTATTTGTTCCTCTAAACCGGTAATCTCTGCTGTTATTGAAGGATTTGCAAAAAATTTTCTCGCAGTATTGCCATCATTTGTGCTGCCGACACCTTGCTTGATTACATCAATTAATAATCCTAATTTTTTTCTAAATTCGTCTTGAATTTTCTTTTTACGTTCTTCTTTACGGAGTTTCTCTTGCAAATCGCAGATCGACCATTTTTTTATTTCGAGGTTGTAAGAAACATGTAACAAAAATTCCATGCATCTAATCCATCCATGAAGACTTGACAATCCAAATTTGTAGTGCTCTATTTTAACATTTTTTGTAGAAATAAGGTCAAAATTATTCATGTCCTTAGGTGTTACGCCACATATGAAACATTTCATGGATGAAGTTTCCGTTAATGATGAACAAACTTTTCCATCCACCATTGTAAATAATAGTTCATGTTCCACCGAAACATGGTGCTCATAATGTGTTGAAATCAAAGCTTCTATTTCAGTTGACATTCTTTGATATTCTCTACGGATTATTTCATCATTTTTCTTTACAAATTCGAACTTGACTGGTCGGCAATATTTTGTGGAAGAGGGTTTTAAATTTTCCCAAATAGTAATTGAACCACAGATCAATTTCAAAGGGACTAAGCACGTTGTGAAAATTGAATCATCTCGCGGATTGTCACAATAATTTGGCAGATCTGTAAATGCTTGTTTGTAAAGACTTTGGCAACTCGCTCCATCAAATCCCCATTTAGATATTAATTTTAAATTTTGCATTTCAGAATGTGTTTCCATATGACATATTTGAAGTAATCTATAAGTAGTTAAATCAAGAAGAGCTTGTAACTTAATTGATGCTTGAGTACTTGAAATTGTAATTGCTTCTTTTGGGGGAAAACATTCCTTTTTTGCTAATTGAATTTGATAATATGAAGGATACAAATTAATGCCTTGTTTAATAGAAATATTTCGTAGTTCTTCATATTTTGATTTCGATAATCCCAAATTCAACATTAATGCTAAAGCTTTTTCTTTTGAATGCATTTTTACATTAGATTCTTTACCTTCGCAGAAAGCTCTGAGTCTTGATGTCTGTTCAGGATGTTCAATAATAAAAGATAAAATTGTTGCACCATCTACATTACCTGAAGTTTGCATTTTCATTTTTAGAGCAAATATTATTTCATCTTCAGTGTATTCAGCTCTTAATGATTCAGTACGCCTTCTTTTTTGTCTATCTAATATATTTGAAAGTTGCTTTCGTTTAGAAGGAGCGTCTTGCTTTTGTTTTCCTTTGTCTGAAGTTGAAGGCTGAAATGGACCTATTTCTGTTGAAGTTGCAATCAAAGCCTCTTCTGGCAATTGAAATATTGTCCGTAACCATAATTTATTCTGGTTTATGAAATCTTTATATACGCGATTCGATTTATTCCATCGTTTATATAAATTAGATGAAAACTTTCTTAAAGGTTCAGTTAAATGTTTCTCAGCATTTGTAGAAAAATTATATTCTTTTTTAGCTAATATATACTCCAGGAGGATTTTATAGTCTTTTAAATTGTTACCATAAGTTCGCAAAATTGAAAATAATTCAGAATACTCGATAGAATTCATGATATTGTAAAGAAAGAAACACAAGAATAAGACCGATAAGTGAAATAAATTGAGGAAAGGTCAATAAGAGATACGCGCAAGCGTATCTTAAACATAAAGAAACATAAAAATTAAAATCACAGTTATATACGCAACTATTGTAACAAATTATTGCTAATACTGTTACATCACAAAATGAACCAGAATAATAACATCCAATAACATTGATATAATGAGAAAATACGCTCTCAAAAAGCTCATAACGATATCTAACTCGATTTGCATATCTCTATGTTATAGCGCTTTGGGGTCTTTTATAAATACGAGAAAAGTATCCATCTCGCGGTGGTGTCACGTATTACTCCGTGGGCAACACCCATATTCGCGCGCCCGTACTGCTTGTGCTACGTTTTTACATTATATTTGTACAAACAATTCAATATCTTTGCGAAAAATCATTGTATTAACTTTTTTCATGAAGCATGTTAAAGCTTAGAAAGTCTACTTTAAAATGCTTATTTGTTAAATTTTTGTTCGATGTTATTTCATCCGGATACAGCGCTTTAAAGAATAACAAGAATATTAAAAAAATATAAATTTTCAATTTTATGAAATTTAGAAACAAAATATGGTAGAAACAAAATTGAACATTAACTGAAAACACTGTTTTTTTCTCTTCAAAATGCATTTTTAAAATCTTCTCTACGATATTTTTTCATAGAAATATTTACGTATTCGTAAAATGCGAGAAAACTGCAATCCTGAATTTATAAATGGTAGTATATTTTGAAAACCTGCACCTACCTGCATTTGAATTTATGATTTTTTAGTAATTTTAGAAGTATACTTTCATAAAATTTTTGGAACAGAACAAGCAAATCCTAGCATTTTTTAAAAACCTTTGTTAAGTGTAGTAATAAATGACAAAAATTTTAAATAAAAGACAATTAAATATAAAGAAGGAAAAGTAAATATTTTTAATAAACTATATACAAAAATTATCTAATATAGTAATACTAATCTGATAATATAATTTAAATTGATTAGAAATACGTATTTACCAGGGAATGGAAAGTTACTTTTTAAAAATAACTAGTTACAGTTACTCGTTACCGAGTAAAAAATGTAACTAGTTACAGTTACAGTTATCGCTTTTTAAAAGTAACTCGTTACAGTTACCGTTACTTGAAAAATAACTTTTCGTTACTTTTCCGTTACTTTTTTAAAATCAATTTAAAAATGTACTTTTGCATTTTTTTTTTATATGTAATACTGACAAATATATAGTTTTTTTTAAAAAAAAAAAAAACAATGTAGAATGGCTCAAATAATAAATTAAATAAAAGTAAAATGAGAAGGGTTACGAGCCAATAATGAAACAGTTTATTTCCGATAAGAACGACGATGACAATGTAATTAAATGTATAAATATATATTAGAACAATACATAGATAAAACAAGATAAAAACAAACGACGTTTCGACATTTATTGTCATCGTCTTTTAAACTGTTTCGCTTTTGGGTTCATAGCCCTTTTCATTTTACTATTACTTAATTTATTTTTTAATTTTTTTTAAACACACTTTTGTAATTCTAAAACCTGTAAAATATGCAGCAAACTGAAATATTTGTATGTCCTATGTATTACATAGAAGATAGAAGTGTAAAATAATTACTGAATCATAACGGCCGAATGTCTAAGGGCTTTCAAGTCTTATTGATAAGAGCTATAAATAGCATGTATCCAATCGAACCGTGTTCAATCGTGTGCAAAGTAACGACAAAAGTAACTGTAAATTTCGTTACCGTTACCCAAAAAATGTAACTCGTTACCGTTACAGTTACCAAAAAAAGAAAGTAACGCAGTTACCAGTAAAGTTACCAAAAAAGTAACTTGTAACTGTAACTTCGTTACAAGTAACGAGTTACTTCCATTCCCTGGTATTTACACAATTATCTCATAAATGAATCAGGTAAGGCATTTCGACCAAATCAATAAAATTTGTGAATGATTTATTTTTATACATTTTATTTTTTTATTGGTTTTTTGTAAAGCCAATTTTAATGCAGAAATGAAAAGTATGAACATTCTAATAATTATTTTCAATGATAAAATGTACAAAATAAAAAATTTTTTTTTCGAGTTATGTCCGGAAATTCTGCGTTTCGCTCCACTGTGCGTCGGGGGACAGTTGGCTGCGGCTGACTGTGGACCCGCGCTCAGGGTAGCACGGGCTTGAGCCTAGGTCCCCGGGTGCGTCTCCTGCCAGCTTTGGCTGGGGGAGGAATCCCGGGGACGGCGGACTTTACGGACGGACTGATGACTGGACTTCTTGACAGTACAAGACGAACTTGCACTGACTGACTGACACTGCTCCGCAGGGCTCCAGGCAGAGGGGCGTGGGGCCGGCAGGGGGACCGGTTGAACCGGACATCCATGCCGACCCCACGCCCCCCGCTACCTTCCGAGTATCGAATACTTCGACTTCCGTCATCGTTAAGTCCGTCAGGTCTAGTAGAATCTACCTGACAATGTTCCCTGAAGGGGAACATTCCTACTGTCATGAGTCTGAGTCGCTGTCGATGTAAGAGACATTGACTCCGTCTTGTCTACCGTCGCCTGCCACATCTGAGCTTGGGCCCGGTTGTGCATTGGTGCCATCTGGAGTGAGAACAATTCCTTGTCTCGCTCTCTCCGCCTCTTCCTTGATGGACATCACCTGGTCGCTAAATCGGAAGACGGCTTCCTTCTTCGCTTTGTCGCTGAGAAGTGCGGTGATCAGAGCGGGGTATGATAAGTCGTTACCAATCACGCCCCGAAGTTCCGCTCTCTCTCTCGTCCAAGCAGAGCATTCGACTATAGTGTGCGTGGCAGTGTTCAAGGCTGAGGGGCAGTGCCAGCATCTCTTCGTACTTTCCTTTTGTATGTGGCACAGATATTGGCCGAAACAGCCGTGTCCTGTCAGGATCTGTGTAAGGTGGTACGACATAGCTACCTTCTTCTCGCTCCAGATCGTCAGTGTTGGGCGAATAGCCATTCCTACTTCACCACCGCTGTTGCCAGGTGTGTGAATCCATTCGTACCATTTCCTAAACATTCTTGCCTTGGCACGTATTCGAATTCGCTTCGTGACTCTGGTATCTATGTGGGTGTTGCCACCAGCTTTTACCTCCTTGATCTCATCATACACCTTCGCATACATGCGGGCCTTCATAATTAAAGGAACAGTGCCCGCTAAAAGCGTGAAAGTGACGTAACAGATCGTACGATAACCTCGAATTATACGACACGCGATCCTTCTTTGTAGCTGGTTCAGGGCTCTCTGGATCTTTTTATTTTTTTCCACCTTATCGATCCATACAGGTGCCGCGTACAGCGTTATAGAATCAATTACAGAAGCGTGCAGGCGTCTTACTAACGAGTTCGGGCCTTCTACATTTGGTAAGATCCCAGATAGTTTACCAACGGTCTTCCTGGCCTTCTCGCCCACCTTGACGAAGTGTTGCTCGAAGGTGAAGCGGCTGTCAATGATGACTCCCAGATATTTCAGGGAGTCCTTCAAAAGGACCTCTGCATCTTGTTGTAGCCCGCGAATGCTACCACAATTAAGTCTCGCATTTCAGCCTAGCAACGAGCTGGCGGAAATGCAAGATTATATTACTGCAAACCAACCTTTGCATTTCGGCATAGCAACGACTTGCGGAAATGCAAGGCTGCAAATTCCATAATGCGTGCGGAAAACGATCACTGATCGAACGCAAGCAATGACCGCACGCACATCGAACGATTATTAATAAAAAGCAAATCTTGCACTTCGACAGGGCAACGAACTGCCGAAATGCAAGAGGACGAAGTCCGCGTTGCACACGGCACGAATGCCGCTAGTTCGATGACTCCGCGACGCCTATATATTCGGCGGTCTAAGGACCGGCGATAGAGTCTTGTCATACATCTAAACGTAACGATACGTTACGCGCGTCGCGAGAAACGAGTCATATTACATCCGCGATAACGAGTGTCGCCGACCGGTCTAAGTCACGAGCGAGGACTTTAACCCGAGTATTATTCTTTTAATTAAATTCAACTATTATAATCAACTACTCGAAATGTAACAATCAAAGTGTAATCTTTTAATTGGGTAATTATATCAATTCAATAAAGAGTTAAATGTAATCAGTGGTAATAACCACTCGAAATTGTAAGTGTTATAATAAATAAAAGGGGTTATTTTAATAAAAGTGTGGTGCAGTGTGTGTTTGTTGTACGACCTTGACCACTTTCCTCGTTTTCCTCGTGGGTTCCAACGTGTGGTTCTATCTTTATCTTCATACAACGGAACCTAAGTATATGCCTTTGTATTCTTATTAAAAGATCTTCCTATTCGAAATCAAGTGACTTAATACTTGTTTAAAAAAATTATATCACAATTAATTTAAAAACAAAATGAAAAAAATTTATTTAAATAGAAAAATTTTTTATGTAAAAACATTTCGCGCTGCTAGTTTTCGATCTTGATGTAATAAAATACAATAACAAAGATAAGAAACATTTTCACGAGAATTAAAGTATTTAGTGTGTATATATTCGTGTATATGTATGTGCGAGTGAATTGTATCTCAATCCTAATATATACTAACGTCATAATAAAATTATATATGGATGTAACATTTTGTATAGGGTTGAGGACGGGGGGTGTTTATACTGCAATGAAGAGCCCCCCCGTTCTCTCCTTCGCGCCCCAGATAGGACACCCGTGAGGTTTTAGTGGGTAGGCCCCGGCCGATCAGGTCGGGGAGAGTCCCACATAACCCCCGGTCCCCTCCCCGGGGGTTCGTGGTATGCGTAATGCCCGTGTCACACTACGGATTGTGGACGAGGATTGGATTGGGATTGCGGATCGTCGGATTTGGATTCTTCGTTCACACTACGGACTACGGATTCAATTTGCAACATATATATTTGCTGTATCGCAAATATCGTGTCGTCAATACAGTGTCGTCGACGTTTACTGTGTATAGGGTGGCTAACCATTTCGAATTTTGTGGGACGTCCCGATTTTTAATTCTCTATAAACACGTTTCGAAAGGACCTAGGTTAGACGCCGTCGATGTCAATGCTTATTCATCCATCATAAATGGGTCACGTGACCAAGCTCGATGTTTTATTGGCTTGGATCACGATTACGGATCACAAAAATAGAGAGCCGTCTATTCTGCAATCTACAATCCGGATCCGAAACTGCCTTGTCTTGATTGGCTGAATTCCGATCCGTGATCCGCAATCCCAATCCGATCCGCATCCACAATCCGTAGTGTGACACGGGCTTAACGCATTTCCTCACGTAAAAAAACAAAAAAAAAAAGGTAAGAGATCAAACTATAACAGTTTTTTATATTTAAAAAATAAATCACAAAAGATCAGTATTAATTTTATAAGAATTCTTATGCCAAATTGTCTATTTTAACGTAATACATTTTATTATTGGAAGGTAATGAAATACCATGAAAATGACTCATACATTATTGAAGGAGCCAGTTTAAAGTAACATACACCAACAGTCCCCAACTTTACGTCTGAGTTGAATACCTCATTATGTATACCAAGGTTTTTTACCATTTCATTATCTTCCAATAATAAAATGTATTACGTTAAAATAGACAATATGGTAAGACAATTTAATAAGATTTCTTTTGAAATTAATACTGATCTTTTCTGATTCATTTTTGAGATATAAAGAACTGTTATTTTGATCTCTCACCTAGAATACTATATTTGATTCAAGATTTTGGAGTACATAAGAACTCTTTTGAAATTAATACTGATCTTTTGTGATTCATTTTTGAAATATAAAATACTGTTATTCTGATCTCTCACCTAGAACACTATATTTGATTCATGAGTTTAGAGCACATGTGTGTGAATTAACCAGTTTTCAATCACGTGTATCTTCATAACTATACATTTACAAATTATTATTATAATTAATGACTAATATTGGGAGGATAGATTATTATCATGAAAAATGACTCATATACTATTGAAAGTGCCAGTTCAAAGTAAACATACTGTTGTACCTCTCGGTGCAACAAGATATTAATTTGGGATTCGATCCGCTCAAAGGGTTGGACACAATTGATAAACAACAATAAACAAGAAGATGAAGCCAATAACGGTCGAAGCTGGTTCACAGTGCTTATTATAATTGTGTGAATTTTACATACTGCGTATGTAATCCCCTCAAAATTCGCGACGCTGATAGTTTTTCAGCATTGACGCATACATACTTACTACCGCAGTAATGTCACTTAGTTAAATTGGCAAGCAATCTAACAATTTTGATGCTTATAGCATCTTATGGATCTTAATAATATGTTGAAAGACATAATATTCGAATAGTTGGTTACAATTGTCGAATTGATTTAATTAAAGAATATTTTCGGGTTAAAGTCCTCGCTCGTGACTTAGACCGGTCGGCGACACTCGTTATCGCGGATGTAATATGACTCGGTTCTCGCGACGCGCGTAACGTATCGTTACGTTTAGATGTATGACAAGACTCTCCCTCCGGTCCTTAGACCGCCGAATATATAGGCGTCGCGGAGTCATCGAACTAGTGGCATGCGTGTCGTGTGCAATGCGGACTTCGTCCTTTTGCATTTCGGCAGTTCGTTGTCGAAATGCAAGATTTGCTTTTTATTAATAATTGTTCGATGTGCGTGCGGTCATTGCTTGCATGAACCTGAAGTCATATCACAGATAGAACACTTTGTATAATTAACTTTATAATAATCGTACATAAAAATGGATGAATATTCTTCTTTTACATCATTTATGCTTCTTTCTAATATTTAGTATTAAGAAATTTATTGATTTCTCTTTCTTGGTAATGGTATCCGAACGGTATTTTTCCATATGTTTTACATTGATATTCTCTAAAATATTTTAACATAATACATTTTATTATTGAAAGAAAATGCAATGAAAGTGAATATGTATTATTCCAATATCAAAATATTACACACATGTAATCAAATATGTTAATAAATGTAATAAATTTTTTTGGTATAATGTTATTACGAAATTGATTATCAGAACAATCCTTCTTCACGATATTAATTATTACTTAGAATAATAATTTGTAAACGTATACTTATGAAGATATACGTGAAAACTTGTTAACTTACACTCCAAAACCTTGAATCAAACATAGTGTTCTAGGTGAGAGAAATAACTATCAAAATAATTATCAAATAACAGTTTTTTATATTTTAAAAGTAAATCACAAAAGATGAGTATTAATTTTAAAAGAATTCTTATATATAAAAAATTAACCTTGGCATACACATAATGAGGTATTTAAGTACATGTTCGAGTTAGTCTGAGTCAAATCAGACATAAAGTTGGGATAATGTATACTGGCCTCGTCTAATGTAAGTCCAAGATTGTAGCACTGACATCAAGAACTTTCAATATACTCGGATCTAATTTCTTTATATTATCATCGCTTTTAATATAAACTGACTGTTGTTAAGTACATTGTATTTTGTGTCAATTGTCCCTTGATCATCTAGTATCTTTACGGTATTTCCTCCTCCCAATTAAACACCATTTTGATCAATTACCTTTAAGTTGTGTACCTGCAAAATATATAAATATATAACTTAAATAATTTCAGTCATTTTTTTTCATAAATTTTATGAACTAATTTTCATAATAATACTACATAGGTTTTTATATAACCAACTCAAAACCGGAATTTCAAACAAAAATTAGAAATTTGACTAATAAAAGATTGAAGGCTTTTAATTTAGGATATTTACATTAATAAATCCGGATTTTCTTATTCAACATGATAGAAATCATCTGACAATTAATATTCATTCAAATACAATGCTAGTTTATTGAGGAAATTGGCTCTGCGACAAGACGGTGGCTTGCTAATACGAACTACTACGAGGCCTCGGTTCGAGTCCCGCGTTCGACATTTTTTCTCAGCCTATTTCTTACAATACTAACACGAATAAAACAGGATTTTCGGATTCAACATGATAGAAGTCATTAGACGATCAGTAAGTATTCAAAGAGATGCATGATAGTTTATCGAGAAAACGATTTAGGACGCGATAGGATATTTGCATAAATGAATCTAGATTTCATGATTTAACATGATATAACAATCGTCGGACAATCAGTATTCAATGAGATACAATATTATAGGCTCGGAAAAACAAGTTAGAACATTATAGGATATTTATATAAGTAAATCCAAATTTTTTTATTGAACATGATAACAATCATCGGAGAATCAGTATTCAATGAGATATAGTATTATAAAACCGAGTTAAAACACTATAGGATTTCCTTATTCATTATGATAGGCGTAGTCGTATGAAAAATTCTGTATATCCGATTTGTACGATCACAGATACGAAAAATTTGAACCAAATCTCCTATTTAATATGATAAGTACTAATATAAATAAATAACTTTTTATTAATATACATCTGGATAGGAAGGATTAAGTAAATATTTTATTAAAACAGATGGTTTTAAAATCTCAACATTGAGATATATATTAATACTTAACAATAATTAATACGTTAAAAATGGCGAATAAGAGTCAAATTACAATTTAAAATCTGAATCTGATAATTTATTCTAATATTCTATATTGCGAAGAATATCATATAATTTTTTGGCGTTTCGTCCTGGCTTCCACTACTGGACTCATCAGTAAGGTATTGTAATGGAAGCCTACCTTAGACGCCGGTGTAAGTTATTAAATCGAGATGCTATATAAAGAGATATACGCGTGTCTCAGCACTTGCGAGAATTTGCGAATATCGATAGACCGCTGATGGCGGGTCGACGTAGTAATATTCTTCGCAATATTTATCCAAAGTAAGAAATAACGTTCTATTAATATATGTAGTCCCCCCAAATTGCGCGCCGAACAATTGTCGGTCTTGCAACGCAAATCTAATAATCTGATTTTTAAATGTCCCCTCTTCGTAATTATTGCGCGCCGAAAGATTTTTGGTCTTGCAACCCAACTCTGGGTGCGTTCCGTTTCTCGCATAGAACGCATGGTTCGCATCACGGATGCGCAATGCATGTGTTTCGTTCCGTTTTCTTAATGCGCATAATGCATGCCGTGAAACGGAACAATTTCATCGCAATCTATGCGAAATAACGATGGCTGCTATCAATATCATCGTATGTGTAAACATTTCATTATTCATAGTAAATCATGACAGCGATAGTAGTAGTAGTAGTGAAGAATCTGATGAACATTCCGACAATATAAGTGATGAAGAACAAGATGAATACACTTTACATTCCGAACTAGAAATTTTATATGCAGTATTAATGGTAGGTGAAACGCGCGGAGAAACAGTTTGGTCAGAAAAAATATCCGATTACGTTGAGCATGTTATTCCTGGATATTCCCGACATGTATTTAAAGAACATTTTCGGTGAGTGTATATACTTATTTTTATTCAATATTCAGTTTTGGAAATATTTTCTATGAATTGTGTTCATTTTAAGAATTAAAAAATTATTGTATATTTGTTCAATGGATTTATAGAATGTTTCCTGAAACGTTTGAGGAAGTGCTACGCATAATCAGTCCAGGATTAAGAGCTATCAATACTGAAGGTGGAAGAAATCCTATTCCTATGGAGAAACAACTCCTTGTTGCCATATGGTTTATTGCTACACCTGATTCTTATAGGTATGTATATAAATAAATTAATAACTAGTTTAAAAAAATAAATTGTAATTATATATACCTATTAATTTTGTGATAAAATTACTAAGTTTTATTCATATTTAATTCAGATCTGTTTCCACTAAATTTGGAATTGGAAAAGGAACTGCATTTAGAGCATTGCGGCGTGTAACATATGCATTACATTGTATTGCTCCACGACTTATTCAATGGCCAAAAACTCGTCCAACTGTCACAAAAGTAATGGAACAATTTCGAAAAGCATGTGGTTTTCCGAATGTCATTGGTGCTATTGACGGCACACATGTTAAAATTCGGGCTCCAAAAATAGATCCCGCGTCGTATATAAACAGAAAAGGATTTCACTCCATTAACGTACAACTTGTATGCGATTCACATGGACTTTTCACGCATTGTTTTGCCGGACACGTGGGATCTGTACACGACGCTCGTGTTTTTCGTAATTCTCCCGTAGCAGATTTTCTTTCAAGACCTGAAATATATTTTCCTGAAAATTCCCATTTAATCGGGGATGCTGCGTATGGTATTCATCCACACTTAATGGTACCATATAGAAATAATGGGCACTTAACGAACAGGCAGAAAAACTTCAATTATTGCCTTTCATCTACTAGAATGGCAATTGAGCGAGCTATAGCTCAATTAAAGATACGATTTTGGATTCTCTTAGATTGTTTACCGTTAACTGATGTTAAGAAAATTCCGGAATTTATTTTGGCCTGCTGTGTGTTACACAATGTTTGTATTTTAAAAAATGATCTCTTCAATGTAGGTGTATATCACGGTGACGATGAAGTGGTAGGCCCAATGTTACATGATAATTTAATTGATTTAGGTAACGATAAAAGAATCGAAATAACAAATGCCTTACCAATAAGATACAACGAAAATGTACGATACATATATCAGAAATGTATATTAATAAAAATAAATCAATATTATTAATAAAAATAAAATTTGTACTACAAATAAATGACAAGAAACTACTTCAATTCCAAAAGTAAGAACACAGCAGCATCAGGCCATAAAAATCCCTTTGTTAAAGCATTAGCTGAATTTTCATCCTCTTCACAATTATCGGATGTTGATGTCTCAAGTGTTAATTCAGCAGGTGCCTTATTTGCATTATTGTTCAATTGTTTCGCCACAACTGTTGCAAGCAAATTTGGATCTATAAAACAATAATTTTCATTTGATTTTATCTTTTACCTTATTCATTATTTAGATATGATTTGTCATTATAGAAGCGTAAATATATGCATACATTATATAACCTCAAAATTTGTTATTCTATATTTTATCTCTGTCGTACCTTTCGTAACCTTACTAATCTCAGTAGATAGGCTAGGCCGATTCAGAATCATTTGGTGATGAGGGGGGGTGAGGTGCGCGGGGAAGGTACGCGGGGGGGAACCCGCCGC